ATTCCCGGTGCCGGGCCAGGCTTTGGCCGGCAGCCTCGCCCGAGTTTGCCAAGGGTCCCAAAATACGCGCCAGAGCAGATTGAGGGCGAGCTAGCGCTGGTTTTAGCTGCAAGGCTGGTCTCGGTGTGTGCGAGGGGTGAGCCCAGGGCATGGATACCCCTCCCTAACCCTGCAAATATTTTTCTGCACAGCCCAGACCTGCCCCCTCTGCTATTCCACAGACTCCAGCTCTGCTGTCAGGGACCGTCCCAACTTTCCGTACAGAAACCCGGGACCACCTTACGCTTCCCAAATGTGTCTGGGTGCGTTTCTGCCGCAGCCACGGAGCATCCCCCGGGCTGCCACTGCACAAACTTCTCCCCCAGCACACCCCAGCATCCCCGGCTGCTGCTCCCGGGCCATCCCAGGCTGCCTCGGCTCCATCCCTGCGGGAAGCGGGCACAAATCCTGCCCCCAGGTCCGGCCCCTGCCCGTAGGTGCCAGCTTCCACGCTGCTTGTTTGTTTGTTGGTTTGTTGGTTTTTAAGACGACGCGAATTTGTTTATAAAATTGACTCATGGCCCTTTGAAACAAATTGTTATTAACCTTCCCCTTCTGAGCGTTTCATAATCACAGATGTTAGTTTGGAGATGATATCCAAACATCCCAGGGGTACTTTTGATAGCTGCATGGGCGGGGATTGAATGTGGCGGTCGGATATTAAATCAGCGGGATACAGAATTACTTTTTTTTTTTTTTTCCCTCCACAAACCCGAGCTGGCTAAATAGTTTCCCCCTCTAACTCTGATATGCATTTCACAATCAATGGCGCGGACATTTGCATATATCGTGCCTGGGTGTGGGTTTGTACAATGCATGTGCCACATCCTGCGTTAGCAGGGAGAGGAGGGGAGAAACACCTTCACTAAACCTCAGTGCTCAGATGCTCATTGAACAGAGTTACGGGAAAAATACACTTAATTAATTACACGGAGGGGCTGGTTGGCGCGGGCAAGTGCAGATGTATTTTTGTTCGGCCCTGAAATACTTTTCTGGGTTGGTTGTTTCGTTTGATTAGTTAGTTTTTTCCCCTTTTAATTTTTTTTTTTAACTGAATTTTGCCACCCTGGCTGGAGGGGAAGGAGCCTGCCCCGCAGGATGGGGGAGGGAGATCTCGGGGAGAGCTGCCTGCCAGGATAAACCCGCTGCCAGCCGTGTGACTCCAGGGCCAGCCCTGCCCCTGCCCTTGCCCCGGTGCAGCCGCATTTTGGGGGAGGCTCTGGCTCGGCTTCGGGGCTGTTGTGGGTTGGGGTTCTGCCTTTTCCAAAACAACAAGGCTGCTTCAGAAAGGGCTTGTTGCTTTGCTAAAATTGCAAAAGGAGCTTTTGCGGCAGCTCCTCCCGTTCAAATAATTTGACATTTTAAATTATCGAGGGCTAATTCAGCTGTGCGGTGCTTCCCGAGCCAGCGGGGAGCCGCTGCCCGGGCGTGGGAGCGCGTTCGGGAGGCGCTCGGGGAGCAGCAGCCGCTCCGAGGGTGGCGGAGTCCCTCCGAACCTGCGCCTCTCCACTGCAAACGCTCCCCAAAATATCGGAGAGAGGTGAGGAGTACGGCTGGTGTGAGGAACTCTGCTCCCACCGAAGGCACGGCTTACCAATGGCAAATATTTTGTGTTCTGGTCTGGATAAAATCCAAGCAGCAGCGAGAGAGGGTCGGTCCTTGCTCCACAGACTGGACTAGATTGGAGAAGTTTCACTGCTAATTTTTTTTTTTAACCCAAAACTACGTATTCCTGCTGGTGTCACACATCTGTTTTCTGTTCCCAGTTTTTCTTACCAGGCTGAGTGAGGACAGGTGGAAACTCCAATTCTGCCTGCACTCGCAGGAGCAGGGCCAATTTTTCCCCCACTGCAGGTTTAGTGACCTTCTAAAAAATACAAATATCATCTCCACGGGACTTAGCCACCCTCGTGTAACACACCCACGGTGCCATTTTGTACAGTCGGACAACAGAAGCTATTTTTCAAACCAGATTTAAAACTCTTCTTAAGCGCCCACTGCCATCGATTTTCTCCCAAGGGATTATAAATCACCTGCCTCCATTAACGGAGGTGACAAAAAAAGAAATAAATATATATAGATCTCAAAAGCACGCAAACCAGAGAGGCTGGGGAAATAAATCGAGATGGGAAGCAGGAGCCCACAGTATCCTGGGAGCATCCCTGCACTCAGCCCTGGCCCCAGGTCCTCCGGGCAGGTGAAGCCCTTGGTGCACTGTCCCAGCGGCAGCTCCGCTCCTGGAGAATTTTTTCCCCCTTGCAGAATATATCCCAAAGTAGCAGCTTGAGAAAAATAAAGTAAAAATAAAATTTTGAATACACTTCCCCCTCGCCCCCCCCCCTCCCCCATTCCCCTTGGTTTTATCTGGGAGCGTGTCCCCTGCAGCAGGAGCGACCCTGAGGGTGAGTGAGGCTCTGCCCTTCCTCCCTCTCCTGCCTGCGGAAAGCTATTTCGGAGCTCTTGTGCCCTTTGTCGCAGCAAGGCGGATGATCGTTTTATTTTTGTCCAGCCTGTCCTAAAATCGCGGTACTGTCATTTCCCGGGGCTGCCAAGTATTTTACAGGGTGCCTGGTTTCGTGGCGTGGCATCGGCAATATTCCATATCCCCTCTTCCCGAGCTCCAGGGTTACGTGTTTTCCTAGCAGAGCTTTTCCAAACGCAGCCTGTCAGAGCATCGCACCACCGGGTATTTAACGTCTTGAAAAGGTGAAACCTGTTGACAGTACGTGAGATTAAAGAGATTTTCCTGTCCGTTTTCAGCTCCTTTTGAGCGGGAGGAGGAGTGCCCGAGAGGGGCTGGGGCCGGCTGGCGTTCGTCCTCTCCTTCAGCCTAGGAATGAATCCCCCAAAGTTTCCTCATTAAGTCAAAGGGCTGATGAAACGCCTGGCTGCAAAACCACCTCTCTCATAAATCGCCACCGATTTTACCCCCTCCCGCACCCCTGTAAAGAATTAAAACTACGACATAGTTCTAATTCCAGCTCCAAGGCTCAGGAGTGCGGTCTGAAGGCTGTAGGAACATTTAGGGATATATATTCCCGAATAGCTCCATTGTAACGTCTGGGTGACACGGGTTGGATTTCATAATAAAATGGGTTCTTTGGTTGGGGTTTTTTTTTAATTATTATTATTTAATGCAGTCCTCGAGAATCGAAACACACAAAATGCAGCGAGAATGTTCACAATGTTGAGAACACAGTTGTAAATAGAAACATTCATATTTCATCCGATTATAAATATTTGATACTGCAATTGTAAAATGCACATGTTTTATAAACTGGAGAGAAGAAAAAAAAATCCTTTGCTTTCTTGCTAAAAGGCAAAGTCATTTAATCCTGGCCCCTAAGCAGCTGATGGTTATTCACAGAATTTAAAATTACAGTTTTTATTTTATAGCTGGATTCTTCCCTTCCTTTTTTTTTTCCCTTTTTTTTTTCCTTTTTTAAATTTTATACTACTATGTACAGTGTGTATCTATTAGAGCTGCAAAATAAAGAGGTTTTAAGGCAAAGCGAGAAGTTTTCCCCCCCACCCCCCCCACACAAACAGCGTCGCAGGAGAATCCGTTCCTGAGCAGCCGCCCACGCACACCCAGGCCCACGCGGGACAAATCCCCCTCCGGAGCGGGGACAGGGACTCCACGCTCGGGGACAAACGGGTTCAACGCAGCACAGCGCCTCGAACCCCCTAAAAACGCCGATTTCAGCGAGGGGTGTGCGTGAGGAAGGGGGGTGTGGGGACAAACACCCACCCGAACGGCAGCGTCGCGCTAGCGGGGACCGCGCTGCGGAGGGGAAGGGACAACTAAAAACGGGACTTTTTTGGGGGGAAAGGGGGGGGCTAAAACGCTCCCAAATGTTTCGGGGAGGTGATGCCGGAGCGGAGCCGGGTCCCATCCTTCGGCTGCCCTCGGTGGAGGGACAGCGGGGCCGCGAGGGAGCAGCTCCCGCTTTTCGGGGATGGGGCTCCCGAAGTTATCCCAACGAGCTGGAAGGGGAGGGGGGTGCTGACCCCATCTCTAGCCAGCATCCACGCCTGCATCCCGCATTCACGGGCGCCCGTGGCTCTCGTTGGCGGTGATGAAGGAGTAGAGGCTCAGGGAAGGACCCCGGGCATGTTTCAAGACGGTGCTTTGAGATTTTGTTTCCCTATCGTTACTTTTATATCTTTTCTTTCTTTTAAAATTAAATTCTCCACGTCTATCCCCAAAAATCAGCCCCAGACACCCCAACTCCAAAAAAAGAAAATTACAAAAAGACTACACCCCCCAAAAAAAAACACCCAAAAAAGAAAAAGTAAAAAGAAAATTAAAAAGGGGGAAAAAAAAAAAAAAAACAAAAGAAAAGGTTAGGGGTGGGGTGAAAAAAAAAGTTAAAACTCATAGAACAAATAGGAGAACTATTTATTCGGTTCACAGTCGTGTGAAATGCAGCAATAAAAATCTTTGGACTTCAGCAAAAGTTTGTTTTTAATTTTTTTTTTTGAATTTCAAAAAACAGCGTCCAATGTCCATTAAAACTGCGCTTAAGTCTATCAAAAAGTAACTTAAGCTTTAAAAAAAAAATTCTTAAAGATAGCATCTAAAACTTCATACAACCAAAAAAAAAAAACCAAAACAAAACAAAAAAAAAAGCCAACGAAACCAAACCACAAGCCCAAACCCCCGAAACCAAAACCAACCAACCAAAAAAAAAAATATTTTATAATCAGATATCTTGGATTTTTACACCACCTTACCTGTAAATTATATATACATAGAATATTGCAGAATTATATCTAATACACAATATTTTCACTATTAATGCTGGTATAATCTTTATACACTGGCCCTTATGTTTCTTTTTATTTTTTTTTTTAATTAAATTATTGCATTGTATAAACTTTGACTGCAAACGGCCCCCCCACCCCTGCCTCCCCCCCTCCCTCCCTCGCTTCCCTCCCACCCCCCCCCTTTCCCTTGGCTATTCACTGTCCGACTTGCCGTCTTTCGCCGTGGTGGAGTGGTTGTAGAGCCCCTGGGCCATGAGGTGCACTGCCAGGGAGTTCTTACTGCCCGTCGCCTTCTTGATCTTGGCTCGTTTGTTCTGGAACCAGATTTTGATCTGGGACTCGTTGAGCCCGAGCTCCTGGGCCAGGCTCTGCCGCCGCTGCTCCGTCAGGTACCGGTTCGTCTGGAACTCGGCCTTGAGTCTCTGCAGCTGCTCGGCGGTGAAGGCGGTGCGAGGCCGCTTGTCCTCCTTGTTGGGGTTCTTCTTCTTTGGTTTGCGGGAGCGGGGACCTACGGCCGGGAGAGGGGAGAGGCACCGACACCGCCGCGCTCTGCTGCGGGCACGGCTCCCGCGCGGGGGGCACCGGGCCCGGCAGCAGCACCACCCCCCCGGGGGGAACGGAGCCCGCTTTGTGCCTCCGCTGCCGGGGATGCTCGGGAGGCGGCGGAACGGGAGGCGCAGCCCCCGCAGCCCCCGCAGCCCCGCTCGCTGCCCCCCCTGCGCTCCCCCGGCCCCTTTCTCCCATTCAGAAACGCAGCTCCCGAGCCTCTGTGTCCCGGGAATGCCCGGCAGGGAAAGCTTGCACCAGGGGCACGGAGCTAAATTTTATACCCTGAACAGATTTATTTTTTTTTTTAAGAAAACCTCTATACTTTTTTTCTTTTTTTTTTTCTTTTTTTTTTTTTTCTTTTCTTTTTTAAGTGATAATGGAAATCCTCTTGCAGTTTACTTGGCCAGAAGCATTCCGCCTCTCCGCTGCAGTGCCCATATGGCGCTGCACGGCCCGATCCGAATCGCCGGGATTATTCTCGGGAATATTATTCTCGGCAGCACAAGGAGCCTTTTCTGCCCGGGCCGAGCCATTGTGAGGATGTATGTTAATTAAATATTAACAAAGGAGAGCACTGGAGAACAATGGAGTAAATTCCAATTCAGCTCTGAATATTACCTCTGAGTAAGAGTTTGTTTTCAGATATTACGAACTAATTTTCATCTCGTTTTACGATCCCTTCCTCAGCTAGCCGACTCCCGGGTGAAAATCCTATCTCGCCGCTTTTGTAAGAGAAAGACCCATATTTTTTTTTTTTTCTTTTCCTCGGGAGCAGATCTCCTGCCTGATGTTTCCCATGTTTTCCTCCAGTGTTTTCTACTTGTTTTTAACCGGGGTTTTACCGATCTGCCGGAGCCAGCCCTCCTGTCCCCGCGGTAGCGAAAGGACATTTTACCCCCTGCTTGTTATTTTTAATTTTTTTATTTTAATTTTTAATTTTTTATTATTTTTTTAAGATAATTTCAGGACGTTCTGCCCTAAGCCCTTGACAAGGGACGGACTCTGCCAAAGAAGTTTCCCGGCTCTTGGAAATGTTCTCCGGCCCCCACAGAGCTGACCTACAGCATATGGGGGGAAAATTAAAGAAAGAAAAGAAACGGCGGCGGCTCGGGAGAAATAAACGAGCGCGGATTGTTTTTGGCCAAAAAAAGACTCATCAAAACAAGGCGAGGCCTATGGAAATGCCACCTCCCCTTCCCAAAACCCAACGCAGGGGGGGTTTCCCGGCAGGGAAAAGGAGAGCTCGTCGGGAGGATGAGCGGGGAGCCCGAAGACAGTTTGTTTTTTCCTCCCTCTTTGATAAAACTCGTCAGTCGGTGGGAAATGCCCCGAGCCCAAGCGGCCTCGGCTCCGCCGCGGCGGCGGGGACAGAGGGAGGGACCCCCGCTCCCTCCTCGTCCCTGCGGCTCCGCGCACCCCCAGCCCACCCTGCCTCTTCAAGCATTTCCAGGCCATTTTAAGCCACTCGCCCACCCTCCAAAAAAAACCCCAAAAAGCAAAACACAAACAGAAAAAATAATAACCAGAAGAAGACGGAGAGGGAAAGGGGAGCCGGGTCTTTTCCCCGCCGCTTCCCGGCCTGGCGGGCGGGCGGCGGCGGCCCGGGGAGCCCGGGGCAGGGGCTGCGGCCGCGGGGGAGCGGGGCTGCGGCGGGGCAGCGCTTACCTGAGGAGGGCCGGTCCGAGTACCGCGTGCAGTACACCCAGGCGGGCCACAGCATGGGCTGGTTCCCGGCGTTGGAGCTGGCCTGGGAGCTATCCGAGTCCGAGCTCACCGACAGGTCGCCGCCGCTCAGCCCCCGCGCCTTCAGGGCCGCCTCCAGCGCCGCGGGGGTCCCCTCCCTTCTTGGCGGCGCCGTGCAGGGCCAGCCCGGCGGGGCCGCCCTCCCCCCGGCCCGGCGAGCCCGCCCCGCCGCCGGGCAGCGGAGCGCCGGGGGCCGGCGCCGCGGCGGGGCTGCGGCGGCTCTCCGCGCCGGGCCGCCGGGGCTCTCCGTCGGGGCCGCCCGCCTCCTTCCTCCGCCCGAACTCGGGCCGCAGGATGTTGTCGATGAAGAAGTTGGTGATGCGGTGCGGGTGCGGGTGGGGGTGCGGGGGGTCACCGGGGGGGAGCAGCAGCCCCCGCCGCCCGCCGCCGCCGCCGGGCTCCGCGTCGCCGCCGGACTCCTGCGGCTCGGCCGCCTCCTCCCGGGGGCTCCGGCCGCCCTCCTCCATGCTCGCCCCGCCGACGGCTCCGCTGCCCGCCCGCCCGCCGCCGACCGGGCGCTGCCGAGCGCTGTCTGTTGTTGCTGCTGCAGTCGGTTGTTCTTTATTTTAATTTTTAAATATATATATTTATATATATATATATGTATATATATATATACACGCACACACAGGTGTCTATTTGCTTTCGTTTCTCCTGGCTTCGCCCGGCATTCAAAATCCAGAGTTTGAAAAAAAAAAAAGAAAAAAAAGGAAAAAAAAAATTTAAAATTAAGAGTAATTTAAAAAAAAATTAAGAGACAAACGCAGGGAGACCCGCAAGCCAGCAGCCGAGCCTGCACCACTTCCAACTTTGACAAAAAATGAAAACACAGGGGCTCCGGTCCTCCCGCCGCCGCTCGCCGCCTCCCGCCGCCGCTCAGCCGCTCGGTCCCGCGGCGCGCTGCCGCCTGCTGCTGCCCCGGCCGCCGCCGCCGCCGCCGCCGCGCCTCATCCGCGGAGGAAAAAAATTAGCGATAATAAAAATAATAATAATTGTGGAGCGGAGGTGGGGGGGGGGTGCAAGAGAAAAAACGAAGCGCCGGTGTCGGGGCGGGGTGTAGGCGGGCTCTCAGCAGCCGGTGTCCCGCGGAGGGCAGGGCGGTGAGGGGCGCCCCGCGGGGCTCCGGCCGGCAGCGCCTCGCCCCGCGCCGCCCCGCGCCGCCCCGCGCCCGCACATGCGGGGGCCGCCGCGGCTGGGGGGGCGTCCCGCCCTGCCCTGCCGCCCGCCCTGCGCCGCGCTACGCCCCGGCGGCCGCCGCCACCGCCGCGCCCGGGCACTTCCACTCGGGTTGTTGTCCTTTAGGTTTTAACGGGGCCCCCGCCGCTGACGTCGCCGGCCCGGGCGCTCCGACACGTGCCTCGGGCCAATGGAAGGCCGGGCGAGCGCACACGTGGTGCGGGGCGCCCCGGTAAGTGACAGCGCCCACGCCCCTCCCCCGGACGGGCCCGGCGCGGCCGCCGCCGCGGGGATGCGCGGGGGGGAGCTGGGGGGTGCCCCACCGCGGGGCTGCCCCCCGCCCGCCGCTGCCCCCCGGCCCCGACCGGCCCGGAGTTACCGGGGGCTTGATTGTCCGGTGTTTACCGGGGAGGGGGGCCGGCATCCCACAATTCCTTGCAGAAACGCATAAATAATATTAAGCGAGCGGCGGCGATACAAAGGGGGTCCGGGGGGGCGGAACAGGCCCGGCCCGGTGCCCGCGGGCTGCTCGGGGGTTGCGTCCCCTCCCCGCAGCGCGGTTCGGCCGTAATTGACTCGTCCTTCCCGCAGCCGGACAGGAGCTTTTGATCTGCCCTGACCGCTCCCCAAACGGCACCGCGGCGCCGTGCTGCCCCCCAAAACGCCGGCCCGGCACCCTCTAGACCCCGCAAAAGCCCTTGCCTCTCTAGGACGGCAAAGCTGCCGCAGCCGCTTTGCTCGTCTTTAGGGAGAAATAACCCCGGAACAAAATTAGGGAGCAAGGTGCTACTGGATGGACGAAGAGATGGGGGGGGCTGAACAGGTTGCGGGGCTTGGGGAGCACGAGAGGGGAGCGAGAAGGCGGGGACGGGTTCTCCCCCTCTGCCCACCCGAGATCCTGTCCGGGCCCGCTCGGTGCCACCGCCCGACGGGGGCGCACCCCGAGCAGCTGCGCCGAGGGCCGAGCAGGGTCGGGAGGGGATGGCTCGGCCCCGGTGTCCGCCGCACCCCGACCGCCCTAAGGCTCTCCCCCTAAGTGACGTTTCTATTTGGAGGTGGCTTCCCTGCGGTGACACGCATCACTCGCCACCTTGAAGGAAAAGGGACAGTGAGCCTTTCCTCTCTCCTCTTCTTCTTTTCCTTTTTCTTTCCTCTTTCTTTCCCTTTTTGCTTTCCTTTTTCTTATCCCTTTTTCTTTCCCGTTTTCTTTTCCTTTATTCTTTCATTCGTATTTAATTTTAAATTCATCTCCCTATTTTCTTTGTATTTCGCAGCGGGTCGGTTTCACCAGAGAAGACCAGCAGTGGCTGATCCAAAGTTGTTTTGCTCAAACAAGCACCCAGAGGTTAATTTCTTCAAGAGCCCCATGAAAAGCGATTAGCCTGTCTCCCCAAGAAGTATTTTCTAATTACTTGGAAGCTCTCGCTTTACTACTACCCCATAATTAAACGTGTTCAAGGTGCTGCACTTCAAATATTTCGCTCCCGGGCGGACCCAAGTTACCGATAAAAACTTTAAATCTCCTTGAACCCCTTGTTACCTGCCCGCTCGCTGCCGGTACAGCGTTAACCTTCCCATTCGTTATCCCGCTCCTTCGCGGGGATATTTCTAACCTATATAGGACAGGGGGGAGAATTCCTGAGGTAAACTCCGAAGCAGGAGATAAACAAAGCTGTACAAAACAATTACTGCATCTGCCTGTCCTCTGACAATAATCCAGCACCTCAGGTATGCAGAGGCAGCGGGGGGGGGCGGCGAGGGGTGAAGCAGTGATCTGATACCGAACCGAAGAAATCTGAACGGTCTATTTTTTTTTTCTTTTTTTTTTTTTTTTTTCTTCCGAGGTTATTTTTATCTGGGAGCTCAATCTCTGTAGAAACATTCCCCAGCAGCACTATTGCTCGCCGGTCCTGCAGTCGCCTCGCAAGCGGCATCGCGGCGTGCGGGGGCTTTTCCTCGGGAACCACTGCGGGTCACCGGGAGAGGTGGCTCGAAAATGGGAGTTTGGCTTCGTTTCCTTCTTCGCTTCAGCCTCCCCTCGCAGACTTAAAGCCTGCAAATGTCACCTCTCCGCACACCAGCAATATTTCTTTTCCTTACGCTCTCCGCGTAGTTTCAACAAGGCTCATTCCCTGCTGCCACCTTTTTAAAAAATTTATGTTTTCCCTCTTTCAAATAGGTGAGTGTGGAGGTGCAGCGGAACCCCACACCCTGCCCTTTGCTCGGCACTGAGAACTTTAGGAACGGGATGACGAGCGGGGAGCTCGGTACGGGGAAGGAGGGAGGGAGGTTGCGGCCGGGGCCGGGCTGCGGGGGCTGTTTGTGCCGCTCCTCCGAGCAAACCCTCCTTCGCAGCTTTTCCCCACACTCGGGAAGAAGCAAACCAAAACAAAAACAACAAACCCCGAGGTGCCGGGAAGCCAAAATACCCAGAGCAATAGCGGAAGCCAAGGGAGGTGCTGCATCTCCCGCTCTCCCAGCGTGGAATGACTGCCTGCAAAACGCAGGCTCGCACCAAATTTCTCCGGGGTTTGCAGCGATTCCCCCATTTCCAGCCTGTCCCTGGCCGTGCCGCCGGGGGAGCGCCGCTACCCCGAGGGCACAGCCTGGGCACATCGCCGCCACCCCGGCGGCCCCCATGTGCCTCCCGCTCACACCCCCAGCACTTTTTTTTCCAAGCGAAGCCTTTGAGGCAGCTTTGCCAGCGCGCTGGAGCTGCTGGCGGAGGATGGAGGAGAGGGGAGAGGTCGCTGCTCCTTTGCCAGGCTGGCCGTGACGCAGGCGGTGTGCCCGGCGCTGCCCGGCCTTCCCTGGGTTCTGGCATCAATTTTGTAAGGGGAAAACCAACAGCAACCCCCGCCTAGCCCTGTGCAGGCTTTCCTGGAGCCGGCGGGCCGGAACAGCTCAGCCAGCACGGCCGCATTTCCCCCAGTGCCGCCGGGGTCTCACTGCTCCGCCGACAACCACAAGAATGATACCCGTGGAACCTCCGGATTTTCCCAATTCTCCCCAAGCCAGGCAGGATAAAGGGCGCTCTGCGGCCGCCCGGGTCCCACCCCGCAGCCCGCGGTGGTGGACCAGCATCGCCCATCCATCCCCTTCAAGCGGGAATACTTTCCCATCAACGGGGGCAAAGAGACGGGTTGGAAACCCTGGGCTTCCACTTTCTTGCGAGATCATGAAAATTTCATGAGCTGCTCGTGGCGAGGGCAGAGCCCGCGGCTGCCGCGCCCGGCCCGGCCCGAGGCGGGGGAACGACCGAGGGGCACGGAGGATGCTCGAGAGGGAACGGGTGAGGGTGAATGTCCGAGCCTTGGCTCGGGAAAGGAGCGCTCGGTCACGGCTGCCGTTCGCAGCAAGGAGGGACGGGGAGCAGCCGCCCCCCACCGCCGCCCCTTCCCACGGGAGGGAGGATGCGCGGGTGGGGTGGGAGTGCCGGGCCCCTGGCTCGCCCTGCCCCTGGCCCGGCCCTGCCCCTGGCTCGCCCTGCCCCTGGCCCTGTCCTCTCGCTGCCCCGTCCTTCCCCTGCCCTCCCCCGGCCCCTCTTCCTGCGCTGCCCCTGCCCACGAGGAGCAGCCCCCTCCCCTCCGCCCGCCGGCTGGGACTGGGGACAGCCTTCCCGGGGCCCCATCGAAAACTGCCAGACAACAGTGATAAAAGCCTCCAATTTTGTTAAAGTTAGGGAGAAAGTAAGGGTAAACAACTGCCCAGAGCATAATAATATGGTGGTCGTCGAAAGGAAGAGAAGAGAAGAGAAGAGAAGAGAAGAGAAGAGAAGAGAAGAGAAGAGAAGAAGAGAGAGAAGAGAAGAGAAGAGGAAGAGAAGAGAAGAGAAGAGAAGAGAAGAGAAGAGAAGAGAAGAGAAGAGAAGAGAAGAGAATGGGAGGGAAAGGAAAGGAAAGGAAAGGAAAGGAAAGGAAAGGAAAGGAAAGGAAAGGAAAGGAAAGGAAAGGAAAGGAAAGGAAAGGAAAGGAAAGGAAAGGAAAGGAAAGGAAAGGAAAGGAAAGGAAAGGAAAGGAAAGGAAAGGAAAGGAGGAAAAGAAAAAGGGAAGAGGAAAATGAAAAGGGGAAAGGGAAAAAAAAGGAAAAGGAAAAAGGGAAAGGGAAATAAAAGGAAAATGGGAGAGGGAAAATAAAAGGAAAAGGAAAAAGGAAAAGGGAAAAGCCCTGTCGGTTTCCCAGGGTGGAGGCAATGTTCTCTGTTGCCTGGCTGGACCCCTCACCAGCCCCTCCTCCTGCGGAGCTCTGGTCCGGCTCCCCGGGCCAGCGAGGCCCCGCCAGGACGCTGAGT